AACAATGGTGAAGGGATTATTATGTAGGGGTGTGGTTATATAGAATAAACTGATGTGAGAAATGGATTTATAGAACATTCTCACAGCCTGACAGAAGGCTCACACAGTGTGCATCTGTATGCAAACCTTGAGATAAGAAATGCTGACTGAGAAATGCCATGGAATAGGACAGACAGATAGAGAGAAATGGAGCTGGGAACAAGTTTCAAAGGATGGCCTTGCAAATAAGACTGGACACTTTGGAGGAATGGAACTATGAAAGATGTATTTTAGATTGGCTTTAAGGCATTTACAGCATGGTGTGACAAAAGCTGATAGGCCAAGAAATATTTATAATGTAATTAGGAATATTTGGCTTCTGACTGTGATGGCATGAATTACAACATCTGTATTGTCTCACCCTTCTCATGAGACTGAAAGTGGAATAAAAGTTTTTAAAACACTTCTCAGTTGCCCCATCTCTGGGTCAGAAAAAGGCTTAATCCAACAAATTGGTGCCCCATGTGAGGATCAAACTGATCTTCAGAGTTTAGAAGTTATAACAGCAGCAGATGGGTGCATGTGACACAGAAGCCCACTGGACAAAAGCATCCACAGTGCAGTAGAAGTGAGTAAAGGTGATAGGTTAAAAAAGCAAAATAAACCTTGTGGCATCTATTCATTGGGTTAGAAAGTTCTGTATTGTTTTGTAACAAAGAACTTGTGACTACTTTGAGCTGTGACCAGCTGCTTGCTCCTTTAAAACCTCATTGTCTCTGAGAGTGATTTTTATCTGAGCAATAAATAGTTCTTAGCCCCAAAATAGTCCCATCCCTTCATTACTAGGGGTGACAATGATACCCCGGGCCTCTAGCCACATTATGGTAATTGCATTTAGGAAAGGCTACAGAAAGGTCAGGAGAAACAAAGGCAATTAGCAAACCAAAGGAGAATCACTTGGGAGCCATATTCTCCTAGCCTCTGGAAGCTCTTTCCTGGCCCTTCCACACAGGCTCTCCAGCTCTGGGTCTGTTTTCCAAACAGCTGAAGCTTCTGGAAAGTGGCATCATCTTTCAGATGGTCTGATCTGTGCCCAGTTGTTACTGGGAAGTTGTTACTGGGACCTGAGAGGATGCATTCCCTCCCTCCTAAAGCTTCTCTGTAATATGGAAACTCGAAGGAAGAAAAGGACAGCACTCAGGCAAGTTTGCAAGGTTTCAATAACATAATAGCCTGAAAATCATCAAATTGTCCTTTGCTTCAGGTTTCAGCTGCAAAAACCAAAAGATGTATTTTTCTTCTTGAAAAAAATCTGAAAAATCCTCACTTATGACAGTATTATCATTGTGATACATATCAAACCCAGATAGCTCCTTTCCTTCCCATCACAGCCCCTCCCACAGAGTGTGCAATCAAAGCATTTTGGTTATCTTGGCCTATGTACTATTTGGAAACAGATTTATAGGAGCAGGATTGTGTTGTTGTTCCAATGAATGTTCCCAAGTCAAAATAGTTTGATGTTAAATACAGATAACTGCACCCCAGCACCAACCATGGGGTAGGTGCTGTCATACCACAGGGATAGCTCAGAAAATTGAGGAGTTTTTGACTCCCAGTCTGACCTGAGTGGTTCATCCTGACTGAATGCATGGCTTCCATGGTGTTTCTGCTGTTTTTCTTCTGTAGGATAAGGTCTGTAGGATGTTCATGTTTGGATCTCCTTTCCCTCAACACTCTCTCAGCTCAGCAATGGGGAGACCCAAAACCCTAACCCTGGGACAGTGGGACAGTGGGACAATGGGACAACTGGCCCTGGGACCATGTGCTGCAGGCCCAGGAACCACTGACCAAGCTGGGCACCCCAAAGAAAGGCTGAGATAACAAGAGTTCCTCTGGGGGAGGACAAGGGCTGGCTGGAGCAGCTCTGTTTGCTCTGACCCATGCTCCTGCCTGGGGAACTCCAGGGAACACCACTGGGGCTGGTGATACAGATCTGAGGCAAGCCAGACCCCAGCCAGGGTGAGTGCAGCTGCCTACACTGCAATCAAGCTCCCAACTGCAGGGGAGACACGGCAGACACTTCAAAAAGACTCTATTTATATTCTGCCCTTCTGCTAAATTCATTCGTGGGACCACTCATGCAAAATGCATCATGCAAATGAAACTGCTACATTTGGAATTAAGCTGATTTTCATACTCCAGTGAACACAAGTGCCTTAGATTGTTTTTCCTGCCTTTTGCCTTCCTTTTCTCTTCAGGTTGTTTGCCCAGCTGCATCCCCAGAGCACCTCTCAGGGACATGGGGAGGATGGCAGAGGCTGCTGGGACTGGCAGCCCCAGCTCTGGAGCCCACAGACTCCTGAGCAGCGCTGATGTGGAACTGATGAGTGCCTGGCTGCTTTACAGCACTGCAGCCCTGGAGAAGGCTGCTCCTGCCCACTGCAGCCTCGCAGATAAATTCATGCAGAGCATGGACAATTGCAGGGGAACGAAGGGAGAGGCTGCTGGGAGCTTGAGAAGGGCCCCCTTATCCCTGGGAACTGATGAGTGCCTGGCTGCTTTACAGCACTGCAGCCCTGGAGAAGGCTGCTCCTGCCCACTGCAGCCTTGCAGATAAATTCATGCAGAGCATGGACAATTGCAGGGGAACAAGGGAGAGGCTGCTGGCAGCTTGGGAAGGGCCCCCTTATCCCTGAGTGAGGAGGGCACTGTGTGTGCTGGGCCCTGCCTCCACGGGAAGGGACTGCCCCAGCTCTGTGCCCTCACACAATGCCATGGTGATCCCTTCTGGCCGTGCACCTCTGCCCTGCACACGCTCCCCTCGGGCACACACTCCTCTCCAGAGGCCCAGCACACCCTGCTCACATCTCCTTACAGCTGATCTGCTCAGATAAAAGAGCTAAAGAGACACTGCCAGCTATGAGGCATGGAGCAGGACAGGGGACCACAGACACCAGACCTGCAGCACCCCCTCTCCCAAGTCCTCCTCCTTCTTTAGCTGTGCACAGCAACCTCTTGCACACCCAGAGCAAGGCTGGTCCTGCATTGCTCTGCCCAGATCAGCACTGGTGGGTGCAGGGAGGAAAGATGAATGTGGCCTTTCAGACAGGGATCATCTGTAGGCACTTCAGAGGAAGAGAGCTGCCAGCGTGGCTGCAGGGAGCACAACTCCCATGCAAGGATGAGGCAGCACTCCCCTTCCCTGACTCCTTGTGGCAGGCACTGCACCAGTGACAGGAGCTCACCCCTCCCTGGTGTGGAAGCTGGAGAAGCTCCCAGTGCCAAACTCTGTCCAGGAGCTGCAGCCTGGGCCGAGCCCTGTTTGACACAGCTGCTGCTGTTTGCTCTTCGGGCTCTGCAGTGCACAGTCTGCATTGCAGTCCCAAACTGCAACCAGCACCATCCCTGCCCTGCCCCGGCAGCACTGCCCCACCCTGGGCAGCCTGTGCCCCAGAGGGCACCCAGCAGTGCTGTGCCAGGGCCCAGGACAGCAGCTCAGGAACAGCATCCCTGGAATGGCACTGGGAGACAGGAGCTAGGAATGGCTGCTTGGTCAAGCTACAAGAAGTGAGAGAGGGAAAAACACTGATCTGCTCCTGTCTCATCATGTCCAAAATAAATTCAGTACAAAACAGCAAATAAACTTCAGTCCTCTTCAAGCACCTCCTGGAAGGGAAGTCAAGGAGCAGAGGGAAACAAGCAGGGAGCTGTGCACTGCTGTGGGTGCCTGTGAATCTGTGGAGAGCCTGAGCCACCACCTCGCCTTTGCTGAGCCACTCGGATTAGAGGAGAGGGAAGCAAAGCAACCACAGGACAGGCCAACACAGCTGGAGAGATGTCAGTGCCCTGCTCAGCCCCTGACTCACTGAGCACCCCAGAAGGACACTTGTGCTTTGCTCATCTCTCCGTGCACTCCTGCCTGCACCACAAAGTGAATTAATTAAATTATCAGTCTGAGGGCTGGGGCTGCCTCTGTCCAGCACCTGTCCAGCACCCTGCCCATTGTCATCCCAGAGCTCAGTGCTCTGCTCTAAGTGAAGCCCTCACAAATGGTAACACCTCAAGGATGAAGCCTGAGATTTGTGAAGTGTGCCCCAGTGCTCTCCCTGTGAGTGTGGGCTGCTTGGAGGAGGGAAGGGCTCAGCTCTGTCATGAATTAGTGTTGTGACAGCTCGCTGCAATCGAGCCATGACTTGCATGGCTGCTTCCCCTTCACATTCCCAGGAGCATGCCCTGCATTAGATCATGCTCTGCAGCAGGCTCAGCTCCAAAGCACAACACAAAATATGGAGACAAAGATGAAATTGCCCTGACCAGCTCTCCTTGTCCTGAAAATATGCTCCTGACATGTGGAGAGAGAGATGCAGGGAGCTTTCTCTCTGCTTTGGAGAGCATGGAGACAGGAGAAAAACAACTGATTTTCAAGCTACTTGCAAGATTGTGGCTTCACCCACATTATTCCTGACAACTCACCCTGCATCCTGGGATTCCCTCTGGGAGCAGCACAGGGTCCTGGGCTTGTGGGGATCTTGCTTTTCACCAGACCTTTGTCTGCAGATTGCTGCTCCTTCCTGCTTCCTTTAGCATAGTGTCAGAGAATATAGCAAGCAAGAGGGTTCTAACACATGCCCGTGCTTATCTCTTCATTCAAGAGATAAGCACAGAGAAGCAGCAGATGGCAAACAGATGCCACAGGTTCTGCAAATCAGCTGTCTCCAGCCCTTTCCTCAGAGCTGTTCCTGGACCTTTGGGGGCTCTGAGAGGGCAAGCCCTCGCTGTCTGGCTGATTGCTCTGTTCACCAGCTGCACAGTTCCTGCCAGGGGCCCACCTGTGCCCACCCTCCTGCAGCATCTCCCCAGCTCACGTGGATGCTGACCCCAGAGCCCACAGCACCAACAACCTGCACAATTCCCTCGGGAACCCGCTCCAACAAAGCGTCAGGCCCTGACACGAGGGGCAGGAAGGGGCACTGAAGGGAATGGGAGAGCAGAGCTGGCAGGTGGAGCAGGGGCTGTCTCACCTCCTCCCACTGGTGGATGTAGCGGATGAGGCGCGAGAGGCGCAGCAGGCGCAGCAGGCTCAGGATCTTGGTGAAGCGCACGATGCGCAGCGCCCGCGCCGTCTTGTACACCTCGGAGTCGATGCGTGTCTCCACGATCAGGAAGATGTAGTCCACGGGGATGGAGGAGATAAAATCCACCACGAACCAGCTCTTCAGGTACTTCATCTTGATCCTCTGCGGGTCCAGGATGATCTCGGTGTTGTCCTCCACCACGATGCCTGTCCGGAAGTTGAGGACAAGGTCGATGAGGAAGAACGTGTCCGAAACCACGTTGAAGACAATCCACGGGGTGGTGTTTTCATCCTTGAAGAAAGTGATGCCCACAGGGATGATGATCAGGTTCCCTACCATCAGCAGCAGCATGGTCAGATCCCAGTAAAACCTGGACAGCAAGACAGAGACATGTGAGGTCATGCACAGAGCAGGAGGTCGGGGAGCCCGGGTCAGCCGCACTGATGGACTCATCCATCTCTGCTGTCAGTCATCCCCTGGGCTCTGCTGCTCTGCCTGAGCATGCACACTGCACAAGCTGCTAATTGACTAATTAATATCAGAGGAACCCTCCTGCTCTGCCTTCGAGGGCTCACAAAGGAGCTGAGCCAGGGCTGGGCATGCCTGCCTGAACACCTTCCTGGGACCTGGGAGCTGCCTGGGGAGAGACTGAAAAACCTGCGGTTACTACAGGGACTGCTGGGGAAGGAGGGAAGGAGGGAAGGAGGACTGGGGAGGCCTCAGAGTCTGTGTGTCAATAAAGCCATGTGGGGTTAAACCATCAGGCTGTGCTCCTGCTGTCTGGTCCTTCTTTAGAAGCAGCCAGCACTGAGAGCTCTGGGATCAGGATGGAACTGGAGCTGTGCTCTCATCTCCAGCCCTCAGTTCAGACTCCTGCTGAGCTGGCCTCCAGGAGTTTAGCCCACGCTCCTCAGGCTCCCGTGTTGTACAGAAACAATCAATAAAGCCTGGAGTCACGTGCCTGGAGATACCCTTTCCATTTCTAAGGACAGTAACACCAACATTTAACTCCTGTTCCGTGAAGCACAGTCTCCAGGAAGCTTATCTTCACTCCAGAGGTAGCTCAGTGTTATCCAGTGGCCCTTACTGTAACACTCAGTTTTGTCTGGAAGGCATACACAGTCTGAGTAGAACCCTAATTTATATGATTGGGATTTTTTAAAGATTTCCCACAGATGCACAATGAGACAATGTGGTCCCAGCTCCCCCAGAGTGAGGACTAAAACCCTTCCCAGTGTCAGAGCTTGCTGAGGAGCCTCGCTGCCCAGCACAGGGGTGCTCCAGTGCTCTCCTCACGTGTCACACATAGATGCTGATGCACTGTGGGCTCACACTGCCCAGATTCCAGCAGCCCCACATTGTGCACTATGGGTCAGCTACTCTAATATCATTAGTTATTAATACAGTGATTGATTTGTCACAGGAGATGAGCAATCACCTCAACAGCAGTGAGAGCACCAGCGTGACCCTGCACTGACACTGATTTATCAAAGGGAGGGTTGGGCTGCTAAAGGATGTGCACATGCTGCTCCTCTCTCTAACCCTCTACAGCCAAAATCCCTGAAATGTTTCAGGAGAGCTGGACTTGCTTTAAAGGCCCTCAAGCTCCACCTTGGTTAGTGGCTGTTTAGCTGGAACCTGGGCCAGGCAGAGCTGCTGCAAAACAGGATTTTCAGAGCAAGGCAACTACATGGTTTGTTAAACTCTCAGCAGGGAAACCAAAAGGGCAGAATATACCTTAAAAGCCTTCTCTGTCTAGAGCCTCTCTCCCTGGTAAGAACACTTTAAAGCACCTAAAAGCATCTTTAAGATTCCAACCCTTGCCCACGTACAGGCAGGGTCAGCAGCTAGCAGCACCCCAGCAATTCTCACAATCATTCAGCAGAGGCTGATGGGAACTGATTTTAGAATAAGCAAAGTTACTCACTAATGAGCTTCCTAAAAATGACCTCAGCTCTCTCCTGGCTCTCAAGGTACCAGCAATCCCCTCTCAGTCTGCAGGTACAGGGCTGCTGGCAGCACTCAGCAGTGGGATTTGTCCATCTGCCTCCAAGAGCAAGGCTGTGGCACCCAGCAATATGCATTAATATAAATCCGTGTTGTGAGCTTCCTTAATAAGGGCCTGAGATGATGCTGCAGCTTTCCCAGGCAATTAATCTGGATAATCGCACAATAGCAGGAAGTCTGGAAGCAGTGTGTGCATTATTACTGAAAATAAATAACCTCCCAGCCATCCTTCATTTCCCTTAGGGAATACACAAGGAGATAGGCCCAAAGAAAATGAGTTTTCCCAAGTTTCAAATTAATGGCATGAGCCTGGCACGGCCAGGTTTGCAGTGCTGGGAAGCTAAGTGCCTTCCTTCTCATACCTTTGCATTTTTGTGCCTCTTTTTTAGGCTGGGTGGTGATTTTGGGGACAGGACCAGCAGTGGCAGGATGGCTCCCAGCCCAAGGAAGATGTTTTGCACACACCCAAGGCCGGTGAAACGCTTTCCCCTGACTGCAGCAGCCCTGCTAGCCCAGCCTCTCCCTGCCCTGCATCCTCACCTGCAGCAGTTCCTGAGCTCCTGCAGCCCTTCCCTCCAGCCTGAGCTGCCCTGGAGCAGCAGGGTGTGCAGTGAGGGATGGGGAGGCAGGTGCTGAGCCCACTGCCACGTGTCCCTCAGAGCACAGCTCTCCTCAGGGCTGCACTGCTGACTCCACAGCATTGTCATGGCCCCTCAGCTCTGACCTTTAAAGCCACCACTTAAAACCAGGGAAGGGGAACTTCTGTATCCAGTGATCCCTTTCATAAAGCTGTCAGGGGGAAGACAACCTTGGGGCTCTATGAAGGAGGCAGCAAAAGCTGGAGCACACCAAGAATTTGGCCTGCACACCAACTCCAGCACCTGCCTTTCCAACGTGAACTGCCTGGCAGTTAAATTCCCCTGGTAAGATTTGCAGGGCTCCTGCACATTTCCATTTCACCCACATAAGAAGCAGGATCTGTTCAGAGTGGCATCAGTGCATTTAGACTTAATTAGACTCCCTGGGCCCGCAACACCTCAGAGGTCTGATACCATCCAAGTGTCATTCTGCATTTGCTCCCAGGAACATCTTTCCCCTCCCTGTAAATTACTGGCCACAATGACTAACGGTGCATGTGATGTATGTAAGGGCAAGCACCAGCTATTAATAACCCATGTTTTCTGAATTTCTGTTGTGCCTTTCACCCAGGGATTCCAGGGAGCTGACAGTGATGAAATTGGCTCTGCTGCACCCAGGAGAGGCAGAGTTATTATCCCTGCCTTGCACACAGAGGAGCCACATGGCAAAGTGAAGAGCGTGGGGTTTGTCCATGGAAGGCTGAGGCCAAGCAAGGGTTAGGACCTGAATCTGATTTTTGAGTCTAAGCAGATCTGAAGCCATTCGTATGGCTTGCAAAAGAGCCTAACAGAGATGCATCTCTGGGATGTCAGATATCCTGTCTTCTTCTCACTTCTCTTCCTGTTTCCAAAAGCCTACATAAAAAATTAATAAATATGAATGTATTGTTTTATTACAGTTGACTCAGTGCAACTGAACTGCTCAGAGCACAGGGAACAGGCAGCACTATATAAACCAGATGTCTTGTTCAAACACCCTTGGTTTTTATACTCCATCCTACTGTCTGCACATTCCTTGGATCTGAAAATCACATTTTAACATGCACCACTACCTCGGATCTCTTAATTCCCAATACATTATTTAAACAGAACATATCTGAGAATTATTGTGGCACAGACACTTCAGGAATATGTGCTCCTTAAGCACTGCTGTGTCACTCAGCTGATGTGACAGCCTGTACACTCTGTAGGTATTGGTTTGTGGGTTTGGAATGCTGGGCCATCTTTCTGCTCTGCCTAGAGCACACTGTGACAACAGGCTGGGAATATTGCTTTTGGAAGTCATTTTTTACAATTAAATGAAATTTCCTTTTTCATTCCGTGGTGCAGTGCGGGCAGTTCTAGAGCGTGAGCTCAGCAGTGAGGAATTGGAGAGAAAGCAGTGAATCCCAGAGGTGAGAGGCTCAGCAGCATCCCTGGCTCACAGCAGCACTGAAACTCTGTGCATTTGTGGCTTCTGAACTTCTGTTCTGGCTCCACAGCGCTTGCACAGTCCAGAGAAAATGGACTTGAGTGGCCTCACCTCTAAATTAACAAAGCTTTTTGGGGTTTTCAGCTGCTGCTGAAGGGCAGCCAGCTCTGGGCTGAAGCACAAACAGCAATGCACCTGCCTGGCAGTGCCAGAGGCCAGAGATCCTCCCCAGCACTGGAACTGAGCTCCCAGCCCGTGGCCAGCCCTGCTGACCTCCCAAGAACAGCTCTTTAATGAGCACAGCTCATTAGGTGAGGGTGGAGGGTGGAGGGTGGAGCTCAAACCGAGCCCAAAGCCAAGCCCAGCGCTGTCCCAAGGCTCGGTGCTGACTCCAGAAACAGAGTGCCACCTACTGAGTCCCACCAGGAATCTCCATCCCTGCCTGGTGGGGAGGAAATGCTCCTAAATCCCTTCTGAGCTGCTGGAAACCTGTGCTTCTCTGCCTTTCCTGCCTCTGGGCTGCATGCTGATCAGGGGGCCTGGCAGGAGAGAGGTGGTGCTGCAGTTCCCAGGAATGCTCTGGGGCTGCAAACAGAAATCACCTTTTGGAAAGAGCATTAGGGGAGCTCAGCGTGGCTGGAACCACAGTGGGAGCAAAGTTTTCTCCAGGAACAGCCATTCACAGAGACAGCTGAACAGAGAGAGCAAGAGAAAAAGCACGAGGAGATCCTTCCCTGCCTCTGGAAGCATCACTTCTCCCAGAGAGGAGCAGGCTGCTTCTACTGGAGAGTTACAGACTGCTCTGCCCTAGAGATAAAGGGAGGAACATGGTGATTCACTGCTCCTGAACACACTAAAGGACATTTAACCAGCTCTGAGTCCAGCAGCTCCCTTGTGGGAGGAATTAATTTATTTATAGAGAGTTTACTCAAAGACCTGTGCACTTGGAAACTTCTCTGCCATGAATACTCACCAGAAAGAGTCAAATGAGTTACAAAAATATTCTGAGTGCTGTGTAATGGGAAAGGACCCAGCTAAAGGAAAAGACAAACAGTTTTAATTCCTTCTGACCGATCTATGCAAATACTCTGCCATCGTGACTAAAGCCCCTGGGAGCACTGCTAATTAACCATGCATTCTGACAGCACAGGAGAGCCTGCTGGGTCCCAGCCTGCTCCAGATTTCCCTGGATGCCTCCTTCTGGATGCCTGCACCTCCTAATATCTGCTTCTCCTGGATGTTTGCTTCTCCTGGATGTTTGCATCTCCTGGATGCCTGCATCTCCTGGATGTCTGCATCTCCTGGATCTCTGCA